TCGGTCTTATCTGGATTGAGTACAAGCTTGTTAACCCTCATCCAGTCCCTAACAGCCTCGAGGCCCTGGCACATCACGTCAATAAGTCCTCCCCTGAAAATAAACCCTCCCCAAAAATACTTAAACGCATGCGCAGCCAGTCTCCGCCATTTCCTCTGGTTGCTTACCAGACAAACAACATGAGGTGAGGAGGCGAGGCCAGAGGGGGGAAAGGGAGGGAGGACATGCCCCATGCACCCCACATGCCCTTACCTAACAGCTGCTTCCACAACCCTAGCCACTGTGCCCCTTCTGTCACGCTAATGACCGCCTAAAAGAGCGGCAGGTCCAGCAATGCGCAACACAGTAGCAGCCATGAGGTGACCATGCTCACCACCTTCTGCACCTCAAAAATATTAAGACTCCCTCCCCCCGAAAATAAGGCCAAATGCTTGTTTCAGAGGTCGAAAGAAAATAAGACCCTGTCTTATTTTGGGGAACACACGGTAATACATATCAGTTCAAACTCTTGCCTATCCACAAGAGTGTGGTAACAAAGTTAAGATGGATTTTACCATAGTTAGAATGGATAATTATTCTTAACCAAGATTTATAGAATTATAAATCTGCATTATAGAATTATAGAAATATTAGAATCTAGGGATAGGTGAACTGCAGCCCTCAAGTGAAGCACAAAGTCCTTCAAATTCAAAACATTTCAAATGTACGATGCTGTGTTCCATGCTCAAAACACCTCGCTGCATGTCTGAAATATTTGTGATGTTATTCTGACCACTCTGGAAAAGTTTCAAGGTTCAAACAGCAATAATTCAAGCTGGAAACACCTGTTTCAAATAGAAAACAGGTGCTTCAAACTAAAAGCATTCCTGGAATGACTGGAACATTTCCAGTCACAGATAACCCATACTGAACCTGCAACAATTGTGATGTCGAACCAGAACATTTCATGCTCAGGGGGGGAAAAATCCAGAATATTTTGCATCCATCCTTGTGTTTCTCTTTTATGGCTCTCTGGGATTCTTTCTGACCCAGAGAGCTGAAAACGAAAGCAGTCTCTTGCCATGTGGACATAGGAAATAGATGAAAACTGTGCTGCATATCCTAAAAGAGAATATCACATTTAAAATAATGCTCTACCCCAAAACCTTGAACTAGGTAGCAAATTTTGGGAGTCATCCACATTATAGCACTTATGAGGTCTATCCTTATTGCAATTTTTATCCAAGGAACCCTAACAAGCAGGATAGCTAAAGGCAGGGAGGTAGCCAAAAGACAGGAATACGGATGTGCTGCACCACATCTAGCACAAATATATCCATGTGTTACTCAACAGGGCACTAGAATTCCCAGAAAGTCTATATAGCCAACAGTGAAGTCTGCTGGAAGTTATCATTTAATGAGAACCCAGAAGAACACTAGGTGCCTCCCAGAGGTGGGTTCCGGCTTCTGTTACTACCGATTCGCTCAGGGATGCGCATTGGGCATGTGTGCACTTGATGCATGCTATGCGTGCATGCACAGTTGTAAAAATATTGCTTCTATGCATGCGCAGAAGCAAAAAGCAAGATGGCGATGCCTATGGTGCCACCAATAGAACTGGTTTGGGGACGTGGCTAGTCGAGTTACTACCTACGTGGCCGAACCGGTCCGAACCAATAGGAACCCACCTCTGGTGCCTCCTTTCTAGTGGAAATTACGTGGCTCCTTTTCTAAACAATACAAAGACATTGTACAGTGGAAACTATCAAGCTGTTTCAAGATAATGCAAGTTGGAAAGTTCTAAAAATACTAATTATTTTTTGAAAGTTGGATAATTAATTTCAAGAGGTCTTCAGCTGGAGTGGGACTGCTTCACTACCTTCCTCTTTGGCCTTTTTTAAATTCAGCAAATTTCTTTTTAATGTTTTAATTAATCCTATAGGAATGGAATGATAGAAGTTTGGAAAATCATACTACACAGCTCAAAAGAAGCATATATTGGTCGTTCTTAAGTAAGCTTCTGGATCCATTTATTTATTAAGCATTCCCAGCAAACATTCTTCCTGGTCTTTATATTTCTAGTTTCTAGCTGGTTTTCTAATTCTTTCTAGAAGCAACTCATACTGATGCAGGTACATAACCACATAGACAGTATGTAGGGTTGGCAAAATAAACTTTGTCAGAGAAAAAAGATGAAAGCTGGCATGTACGTATATCCAAAGCACATTAAATTTAAGTGGGAGCTAAAACAACACAGTTGCAGAATGGAATTTGAATACTCGGGATTCCAGTCATTCCTTATGTTTTCAAACTCCACCCCCCCCAAGTTTTATCCCTTTTTAACTTCTATAAGGTAATTGGCAAGTCCAATTCCCCCAAATTGTTCCACACTGTTTCTGATTTTCCCATCCTGCAGCTAAATAGTTATTTGCACTTGTGCAAAATTTGGCATTCCTACAATATACTTGGGGATGCGGTGGCTCAGTGGCTACGATGCTGAGCTTGTCGATCAGAAAGGTCGGCAGTTTGGCGGTTCAAATCCCTAGCGTCGTATAATGGAGTGAGCTTCCATTACTTGTTCCAGCTTTTGCCAACCTAGCAGTTTGAAAGCACGTAAAAATGCAAGTAGAAAAATAGGGACCACCTTTGGTGGGAAAATAACAGCGTTCTGTGCTCCTTTGGCATTTAGTCAAAACATGACCACGGAGACATCTTCGGCCAGTGCTGGCTCT